GCAAGGTCCAGCACACCATCAAGGCAGCCGCAGCCTCACTGGATACAAACAAGCATGGGTATGCGAATTCATTTATCTATTGTGAGGCTCGGTTTTGCCTGATTTGTAATCATCGTGCTGTCTTTCTCGTAGTCGGCGTCACATAGTGGTCAAGCTTGCTCGGACTTCCAGGCATGGTGTATGGCCCACAAGGGCAAGGCGACGTCCGACATCTCCTTCAACCTGGAGGACCCGCCCGGGCATACACGAACCCGAGCGTCCACTCCCGCATCAGTGAGTACACTGAGATGGTGAGGTCGTTCCATGGGTCAGACCATGATCTGAGCACCCAGGACTTCGATGGAGAGGCCGTCATGAGGGCGGGGCAAGGCAAGAAGCATGGGCGGTTCTGGCTTGGCGATGGCGTCATCGACAAGGCCTCTACTCCCTCTCTCTCCTAGATCCGAGCACGGAGCACGAGCGAGAGCCTGGCCATTCGCACACGGCCAACCGCTGCACAGCACCGAGTCGACGCACTCGAGGTTATTCCTGTTTTACTCGTCATACATTGATATTTACACACCTTAATTAGCTTTGCATTACTGAAACATTGGAGTGAAATATTGCAGGCCCGGCTAGAACAAGAAATGAGGCAACGTCGAGTCAGCGGCCCACCGACGCCGAGCCTTGGCGAAGCGGCAGCGAGCCCAGCGTGAGGCTAATGGACATTACGGAGTTCCTACAAGGGCTTGGGCAACGTGTGGGCTTATCTCTGCCACCTGGGCTGTTGGTTCCACCTCCGCATCCGTGTCCTGCAGCTCCAGCTACTTCTGTGAGTATTAAAGTTTTTTACTTTCGCTTGTGCTTTGCTTGTATGGCCTCTACCTTCCTAGATTAGCTATCCAAATAATCTTGTCTCACATACAATATTTTCCCCTTTTTGCAGTCTCCATCTGACGGTGGATCGAATAATCCACCTCATGCACCTCCGAATGATGGAACTGGGCCTTCACCACAGTCGCAGTGGCCGAGATGAGTGCACGTTGTATTTTTTTTCATTTGTTGTTCACTTGGTGATGGACTTGTGATGCACTTGTGGACTTTGATGGACTTGTGGATTTATTTGGATGGACTTGAGCACTTATTATTATATATGTGATATATATTGTGATGGATGTGATATGTGCGGATGGATGTGTGGATGGATGAGATATATATGTGATGGATGAGATATATATGTGATGAATGAGATATATTATTGTATTAATTTATTTGTCACGATGGAATGTAAAAAATTAAAATGGCGTTTTTATCACTTTGCCGAAGTGTTGCACTCGGCAAATGACCCCTTTAAGTGCCATGGTCACAACACTTTCGGCAAAGCTGGGAAAATGGGTTGATGAAAAAAAAATTCCAGCTTTGCCGAGTGCTATGACCATGACACTCGGCAAAGAATTTTTTAAAAAAAATCCAAGTTTGCTTTAGTGCCGGCCGAGGACACTTGACAAATAATTTTTTAAAATTCAAACTTTGCCGAGTGTCGTCCACGAGGGCGGTCAAGAAAGAATTTTTTAAAAAATTCAAATTTTGCCGAGTGCCTACCGGAGGATACTCGGCAAAGAATTTTAAAAAAATCAAACTTTGCCGAGTGCCGGAAATACGGCACTCGGCAAAGAATTTTTTTAAAAAAAATTCCAAGTTTGCCGAGTGCCGGCCAGAGGACACTCGGCAAAGAATTTTAAAAAAAATCAAACTTTGCCGAGTGCCGTCCACAGAGGGCACTCGGCAAAGAATTTTTTTTAAAAAAAATCCAAACTTTGCCGAGTGCCTGCCAGAGGGCACTCGGCAAAGAATTTAAAAAAAAAATCAAACTTTGTCGAGTGCCGAAAATATGGCACTCGGCAAAGAAATTTTTTAAAAAAAAATAAAAAAATCTTTGCCGAGTGCCTTCAAGGTTAACACTCGGCAAAGAAATTTTTTTTAAAAAAATAAAAAAATCTTTGCCGAGTGCCAACAGGGTTGGCACTCGGCAAAACCACCGTGAACAGGGCCGGCACTGTGACGGTCGCTTTTCTTTGCCGAGTGACCCCGGGGCACTCGACAAAGTCTTTGCCGAGTGCCCGATAAGGCACTCGGTAAAGAGGGCTTTGCCGATCAATTTTTTGCCGTGTGTTCTTTGCCGAGTGCCGCACTCGACAAAGGCTTTGCCCAGTGCAAATTGGCGTTTGCCGAGTGCCTCAGACACTCGGCAAAGAACCTAAATCCAGTAGTGTAAGCTAGCTAGACGTAAATATTACGAGTAGCATGCCTGTATACCTACTAACTAACAGGCCGTGCTTTTTGGTTGTTGTGGACTGGACAGGGTGTTTGTTTTGTACTCCTTGGGAGGCACCAGGCGTCCAGGCACGTAGCGGATTTAGGAGTTTCCCGGGCTTTCACCACCACCAGCCTGCCTCCTCCTCCTCCATTGGCTCCGACCTGACCTTTGTATTTGTTTCTCGATCGTCATGCATTGACTTTGACTCCCACCAGTATTTCATGGTGTGGGCTTGTTGAGTCAGTGGATCATTTGCTTTGTAATAATGGCCTTGTTTAGATTGAAAAAAATTTCAAACCGATGAATAGTAGCACTTTCGTTTTATTTGGTAAATATTGTCCAATTGTGGATCAACTAAGCTCAAAAGATTCATCTTGTGATTTCCAACTAAACTGTGCAATTAGTTATTTTTTTACCTACATTTAATGCTCCATACAAATGGCTAAAAATTAATGTGATGGAGAGAGAGTGAAAAAACTTGGAATTTTGAGGTATCTAAACAAGGCCAATATATGGATGCTCAAAGTGAACACGTACGACCGTTTCATTTGTGAGTGCCGAGCAGGCTGTTCATTCGTTGACACTTTGTTAAATTTATTTATTTATTTTTCAGACTTGATAATCCTGTAGACGCGTGCTGTTGGTTCTTAACGTACCTGCAGCATCACCTGAGGTGTGGCGTGGGATTGTTGAGTTGGAACCATGCATGCATCTGCCAGCTCATTTTATTTCTTGTAATAATAATCATCATATATATATATATATATATATATATATATATATATATATATATATATATATATATATATATATATATATATATATATATATATATATATATATATATATATATGGATTGTAAATGTACCGATTCATGCTTCTCTCTTGGTTATTGCTACGTTATGCTATGCTAGTAAAATTATTAGCTAGTTAAAACAAGTATATTGTGCTTCCAGTAAAACTTTATACCTCTGTTTGTGAGAATGCTCTATTTTTCTGTCAAGAATGCTTCGTTACATTGGTGGGGCTAGCTAGGCCTATTCCTGGCCCTGATTGTCGCCTAAGCTGTCCGCTTCTTGGATTATATATACTTAATACACTATTTCAAAAGTTAAATCATGCATGCCACATCACTAATCCCAGTTAAGTAACAGATCAAGCACATAAATCAGCTGGAAGCTCGTCGCACCTCACGGGAATCTGACTGACTGCTAGCTGAGATATACATACATGCACCAGTATCAAAGACATGATCACATTCGAGTCATCAAAGACAAAGAAAACCACAAGTCTTCAAAGCAAGCAAAACCAGCCGACCTTTGGTGATTACTCAGTTTGCAGAAAGAGTTACCATCAATCAACTAACATGGTTGATAGATTCGAGTTTTGGTGAATTTCGTACATTTGAGTGAAGTGCCCGGCCGTTACAATGTAGCATCCATTATAGCAAAATGCACCAACAAGGCAAGAAAAAGCCGGTACCAACCACCCAAGAGCATATCTTCATTACTGTGTGTTGCATGCATTTTCACGTACGAATCAGAAATAATCTCAAACAACCAAAACGAGAAATACTCTACAAAGATCAGGCTGAAGTCAGTGCAGAGCTGATCTCTTGATTACTGGTCAGCACAAAGCAGAATATTTCTTCATGCATACATTGCTGTATATCGATTGATAGCATGAGGAAGGAAGATTAATGAGCTGAACAAGAGAATAAACATGTGCGTGTGCTGCTACTATCTTATCTTAGCACTAATACTAACTGTTTTCTGCCACATGCCAGCTGGGGTATGGGAAAAAAGGGTTATAACTTACAGCACTCATCCATAAATAAAAAAACGTGCTTACCAGCTGTCATTCTCCATCGCCATTGTGATCCTCGACTTGGTAGGCCATTTGATGTTGCTTGCAGGATGACCTGGGTGCATGTCAATCAGTGTTTTCAGATGGGACAACTAATCACGATTAATCATAATTAGTCGTCCTTATCGTAACTAGGTGCTTGATAAGAGCCCTCGATTAGTTTAGACCGATTAGAAACATTGGTGGGGCTAGCTAGGCCTCTGATTGTCGCCTAAGCTGTCCGCTTCTTGGATTATATAGACTTAATACAGTATTTCAAAAGTTAAATCATGCCACATCACTAATCCCAGTTATGTAACAGATCAAGCACATAAATCAGCTGGAAGCTCGTCGCACCTCACGGGAATCTGACTGACTGCTGAGATATACATACATGCACCAGTATCAAAGACATGATCACATTCGAGTCATCAAAGACAAAGAAAACCACAAGTCTTCAAAGCAAGCAAAACCAGCCGACCTTTGGTGATTACTCAGTTTGCAGAAAGAGTTACCATCAATCAACTAACCTGGTAGATAGATCCGAGTTTTGGTGAATTTCGTACATTTGAGTGAAGTGCCCGGCCGTTACAATGTAGCATCCATTATAGCAAAATGCACCAACAAGGCAGGGCAAGTCAGCAAAACATACATAGTCAGGTGAAGAGGAAATTCTCCTAAGAAGCCATCCGCTCCCCCCGCTAGTCCCGCCGGTGGCCACTCCGGCCCTGGCGTCCACCTTCCAAAACGCCGGTGGTCACTCCGGCATCGCCGTCCACCTCCCAGACAACGCCAGCTGCCCCTTCGGCTCTGCCATCCACCTTCCCCCCCTCTCCCACAGGAGCTCCTCCGCGTCTTCCTAGGATGTCGTCCCCAAGTTCCCCAGGTGGGGGGTCGCCGCTGCCACCCCTATCGAAAAGGATGGCTTCACTCTCGTCCAGAGCCGCCGTCGCTGGCGTAGGCGCGCGCCGCCCAAGCCACGCCGCCCGGTGCTGCCGGCTCTTGTGTGGGGTTCTGCTTCAACTGCCTCGACGGAGGCCACGTCAAGGCAGACCGCTCCTTCCGGTAGCGCTACTTCCACTGCCACAGCACGCAGCACCGGGTCAAGGCGTGCCGATGACGCTCTCTCGCGTCTCTGGCGCTTGTGGCCCTGGTCGGTGGCAGCCGCCCCACGGTCACGATCGCGTTCTCCATCAGTTGCTATGCGCCGGAGGACTTCCTCGTCAAGTTCAACTCTCGCCACGATCTGGAGGACTTTCTGCGCGGTCCGGTTCCGATCGGGACACCCTTCTTCCAGGTCTGGAAGCGCTGGCGGCGCCAGTCCAGGGCGTCCGCCGGAGCTCTCAAGTACAAGGTGCTCGTCGGCTTGTCCGGGGTGCCTGCCCATGTCTGGAGTCCGTAGTCGGCACAGCGCATACTGGGGTCATCCTGTGCCAAGCTCGAGGAGGCTCCGGTGACCACCACCGGAGAGGACCGGCGGGAGTACGTCGTTGCTGGGTGGTGCGTCCACCCGGACTTCATCCTTTTCTCTTGTCTACCCGAGCTGTCGTTCGTCGTGGGATTGTTGAGCTGGATTACTGGAACCATTCATTTTCTTGTAATCATATGGATTGTGAACGTACCCGTTCATGCTTTTCTCTTGGCTACTACATTATGCTACTATAAAATTACAACTAGTTGAAACAAGTATATATACTCTGCTTCCAGTAAGAGTACATTATATAGTAGGTTTGAGTTTTGGTAAATTTCATAATTTTGAGTGAAGAACTCGGCCGTACATGTAGCATCCATTATACACTGGGAATTAGTACAGACAAATGAACCAACAAGGCAAGAACAATAACCAGTACCGACAACCCAACAGCATCTCTTCATTACAGCGTGTTGCATATTCATGTACCAATCAGAAATAGCAAGTCTCAAACAACCAAGACGAGAAATACAAAGGTCAACATGAAGTCCATGCAGCTCGGTGTTGAAAGCAGAAAATCCTGTAACGAAGGCAAGGGCTGTCAATGATATTGATGTCCTGATTACTGGTCGGCAAAATATTTCTTCATGCATACAAAGTGTCCGCAACATCCCCTACAATACACATGAGGAAGGAAATTAACGAGCTGAGACAAGAGCAGAAACATGTTGGTTCTGCTGCTACTGTCTTACGGCTAAAACTTTTGTTTTCTGCCACATTAGTGATGGAGCTCGCAACAATTTTTATTTTTTTTTTGGGGAGTTAAGTTTGCAATGCTGAATCTCGTTCAAGGAATTTAACTCCCCCAAACACAAAAGATGGATATTCTTGTTGTTCCTTGTCTTGTCTTTGTTCCATTCCAGTTAAGAGATTAAGAATCAGAGATTTTTTGTAAAATACATACGAATTAGGAAATTTGGTATAAGAAAGTAGCACAACATCTTAATTTCTCGTAAAAACAACATCAATCAGAAGTAATTTACCAAAGTACCAACTCATGAGGAAAGAATTTATAAGGAATCAAAGAAATTGCACTACAAACTCGGTAAGAAAAGCTAACATACAAAATTCTATAGCGTGGCTAGCGCCCGGACGTCCAGTGCAGCCCGCCCCAGTCCGCCGTTGCCCCACCCTTGTCCGGCTTCACCCTGCCCCACGTGCGCACTCCGCCCCACGCCCGCCGGTCATTCCCCAGACCCGCTCCTCTCTCTCTCCGCGCGGGCAACACTCGAGAGCCAGACACAGGCAGGCCCTGCACCGAGCACCCGTCCGCCCGCCCAGCCCCCGTCGATGCGCTGCCCCCCCTCTGGCCTGCGCCCATGAGCATGGTCCGCCTAACCCCTGGCTTGCCTCTGGCCGAACAACATAAAACACTTGCAACGTGAAAAAAATTTGAATAAAACATACGTCTGAAAACAGATGAAACACTTGGAACTTGCACTTGCAACATGTGTGGAACACATAAAACATCCAAAAAATAACACTTGCAACTTGCAACATGAAACCACCTGCTGCAACATAGGACTGAAACAGCTGAAACATTTTGGAACATACTGTTGCAACATTTGTGTGAAACATATGCAACATCCAGATAAAAACATATGCAACATACGTCTGGAAATAGATGAAACATTTTGAACAAATGTTTGCAACATGCATCTGAAACACTGCAACATATGCAACATGTGCAATATCCCCCGATCTACTTTTACAACATCAAAATGGAACAACTGCATCATACATCTGAAACGTCGAAAACAATTAAAACATACATATTCAACATAGTGGAGGGGAAGGCCGACGTTGGTCGATTCCAGCCGCTGGGGTCGAAGCCGGCAGTGAGCAGCGGCGTGCGAGCCCCACCGTCACCAGCAGCAGGCTTGGCTCTGCTGAGCGGGCGCACGCACACCACAACCACCAGCGTTGGTCTTGGCTCATCGGCCGGGCGGGCGGCGTGCGCGACGGGCGGAGCGAGCACCACCATCACCAGAGCACACGCACGATGGGAAGGGGCAAGAAGCGCCCGCGGCGGGGGCGAGCGAGCGGCGCCAGATGGGGCGTGCAGCAGCAATGAGGCAGAGTGGCATCCGTGTTCAGGACGAGGGACGAACAGAGTGGCAGTCGCAAGGCGTTGTGGTGGAGAGAAGGGAGCGGAAGGGATAAGAAGGTTTTTTTTCTTTCTTTTTAGAACGGTTGGGGGCGAGGGCATGTGGATGAGCGTTCGTTGGGCTGTGTCATGGCCCAGCATCAGGACCGTCCGAGCGGACGGACGCCCTATACCCAGCATTACCGAAAAATCTATAAAGAAACTGAGCTAGTTCGTCAGGAACAGCTTGCAACACTTTCAGGTTATACCAGGATGAGTTTAAGATACTACTGCAGTTTTTGTACCTGCACGGCTAATGAGCACAATGCAGTGAATCAATGACTGAATGGTTGAATCTGCCAACTATTGTTTCAGCTATTTGTTGTACTAGCACAAGATGAATGATGTCGGTATTTTGCTATCCTGGAATAATTTCAGTAGCGAAATAGGAAGGTTAAAAAACTACAGAGAGGTGTTAAAATGAAACAGATGAGATTGCTACTGATATAACCACCTCAATTACAATAATTTATGCAGAGTTGATTCATGAAAGCATAAACAGAGTTCATTCATGCAGCGAATCAAGGAACATACAAAAGGGTTGCATTTGTCATGAACTATTTTACCAGCGGGTCTGATGTAATGCACATGCACCAACAATTTATTCAGCAAAGGGATTCCAGCTCCAGAGCCTCCTAGCCTGCAGCAGCTTAAACTCTCCACCAGTATTCAGTTCAGCAGAAGACCAAATGTGACTCACATTATGCGAGGAAGTCACAATAAATAAATCAAAAGAAAATTGGCATCACGCAACAACATGTGACATGTAAAGTGTCCACATTCCATCTAACTACGCCCTGCCGGCTGGCGCTGGGTCGTCTCAGTCGTCACAGAAAAACAGTAGAGTAGTTGAATGATTGCTACTGCCAACCAATAACGGGCCCACTCGGTTTCAATCTGCTTGAGGAAAACTTTGGCGTCCGACGAGGCGACGACTCCGAAGGTGACCCCGAAACCGAAACCGAAACCGAAACCGGATTCTGGTCGAGCCTGGGCCCCCGGTAGGGACACCGAGGACAAGGACAAGGAGGCGAGGCTTGACATGCACACTACTCCGATCTGCGATGTTCTCACTCCTGTCACCAATCTTGATCGTTACTGTACGTATGCCTCCGTGTCCACTCCACCCGCGTGGCTGACTGCGCCAAGGCCACAGAAAACGTTCCTTCAGTAGTAGTGCGAAACGCGTCGTATTCGCCGGCGCCGCGGCGTCAGAGCAGATGCTGCCCTGTTCAGATTATTATTCTGAGGTAGTGTTTAGTTGGCAAAATTTTTAGTGAAATGGTACTGTAATACTTTCGTTATTATTTGGTAATTAGTATTCAATTATAATTTAATTAGGCTTAAAAGATTCGTCTAGTGAATTTCGTCTAAACTGTATAATTAGTTTTATTTTTTATTTATATTTAATGCTTCGTACATGCGTCAAAAATTTGATGTGACGAGAATCTTGAAAAATTTTACAAAATGAAATTCAACTAAACAGGCTCTGAGATGGATTGATCCACCGATTCCTCCGTCCAGAACATTATTACATCCTCCTTTTCCAGGTGCAAGTCTGGATGGAGCGCACGACGAGGAACAAGAACAACGCACGCAGGTCCTCCTGCCAGCAAAGGGCGATACGGCGAGGGAACAAACACCTTAAAAAAATCCAGCAGACCGACCGCCTACGTAATAAGCAACGGAAATTCCATTTGGCTAACATCGGGTACTCTGACTTTTTTGGTTATTAGTATAAGAGCTAACTCCAACCGAACTCTTACTTGATCCTTTATCTTATTTTGAGAGTTCAAACACATTAAAAAAAAAAAACCTCTCCAATCGAACCTATATTCAAGCCCCGATGAATGAGGGACTCTCATTTCTCTCTCTTAAACCCTCAGATGTAGAAGTCCCTCGTCCTGCTTTCTCTTTTCCATAAAGCTGACAAGTGGGACCAATAAACAGGGTTCATGACAATACAATGTAAAAGTAGGGAAAATTTAGGAGATCGGTTGGAGTACCCTAATGAGTAGGGAATGAAATATGGATAAAGGACTCTCATTTGCAGGAATAGGGAGGCAAAATTTGAGGGAATAGTTGGAGTTGCTCTAAATACGTACATGCACATCAAGTTTCTTCGCTCCGCTTTCCATCTAACTTCCATCGTCTTTGCCTGACTTTCCAACTTCCAGTGCTTGATTTTGACGACGAACATGGACATTGGTTCGGCATGCAGCCAGAGTCTTTTGTTCCCTCTTTCTGAAAGCAACTTTCTCAATTGACAATAAAATGGCGACGACACGACGAAACGCTTTCCATCCACACACCGGACACCGCCGGGTTGTTCCGTGTCCACCTCGTAGCTGCCACTGCCAGTCGATATCATCAAAATGTCATTCCAAGAAATGTACCAAGTAATTGCCTTCACTTTCACAAGAAAATGCGACTCCTTCATTGTCTTCTAAGACATTGATGCCATATTGCCATCAACAAATTAAAGCTTTGTTTCGCACAGCTCTTGATGGCTCTGTCTCCATTTTATAAATCAACTCTTTCTTGCTAAAATAATCTGGAAGCCTGGAAAGCAATTTTTTTTGTAACTTCAGAAGCTCCTATGACTCTATGAGTCAGTAAAACTGTAGCAGGAGACGTACCAAACAGGTGAATTTATCAATCAATAATAGAACCAAAAATGAAAAAGAAAGGGGGCACAGGAACTAATCGTTGTGCTAGATATAATTAACGTACCTGTTCTACCAGCTAAAGTTAGCAGACGACACCCACT